TTTTTAAATTATTTCAAAACTGTTTGCATTCCAGGTTCATATATTTAAACTATTCTGCTGCTATGTTTCCATGAGCATTTCTCCTGTTCTTATTTTTTGAACTAAGACATTCATTTCATCTTGGGTTATATCTTGGTTTCTACTATGTTATCAATGCTTCATGATTCAATATAATGTTTTTTTTTTCTTGTTTGGAATTGTGATACCAGCTAGATTAACCTGGTATTAAATAATGACACAGGAATGGTACTTACGTGTACCTTAAAGAGTATATAAATTTCATATAGAAAAGAAGTAAAGAAAATATTCTGAGAGGTGCTAAAAATAGATTGGTATTTTTGGGTGTAAATGTGTGTGGGTGTTTTAATGACAGGTGAGAGGATTGGTGAAAATATAATTAGCCAATGAATAATAGTTGTTACATTAGAGATATACGTTAGCTGTACAGAATAATAATTATCTCTGAGCCTGGGAGATCATAGTTCCTGGGCATGCCTTAAAACTAATGTTTGCCTTTAAGAGAAAGCTTGGTTGCCTGGAGTATTAAAAAAAAAAAAAAACTTCCTTAATACATTTATTTATGTGAGAGACCTACCTCCTGAAGAGAGTTCCTAGTAGAAAAATAGAGGAAGCCAAAAAGCAAATCTAAAAAAAGAATTGATAGAGAATCTAGCTTTGTTGCTGTTATTTTAAAGGGGCTGATGAGGGAAGGAATTTCAAGACACAGGAAAATACCTTCAACATAAATAAAGGAGGAAGCTGATACAGACATGGATTTCAGCTGATGTTACTCACTTTCTTGAGAATTAAAAGTGTGAGAACATTGAGAGCTTATTAGGTGTGAAGATCCATGTGTTGAATCTGAAGAAAACAATCACTTTTGTTACAAAGTAGCACCTACTTCTAGGGTTTAATAGGGCATAGGGCTGCTCAGTGGATTAAACAAATAGCTTTTGAATTTTGACAGCTATGGCTGTAATTAGTGGATCAGAAGATTTTGACTTTGATGCTTTAAAAAGAGCTATATTTAAGCCCACTCAACATTTAAGTCTTCCAGTTGCTAGAGCTGTCTCTTCTTATTTGAAGAGAATCTGTTTCTTCAGATAAGTTGAAGAGAATACAAGTGGAAAAAGTGTTGTTTTAAATCAGTCAACCCAGGATTGTATACATTTATATTTACTGTAAATCAAGCAGTCTGGATATTCTTAGTTTGACTTTTTTTTTTTTTTAGCAAACCTGCAAATGTTTGTGCATATATGACATTTCTCTATGTTTACCAGTTATATAACAGTTGCAGATTTTCCATATACTATAAAAGGGAAATTGGAGAACTCAGGCTAAGCAGGATATGGGTGTTTGTCTTTTCATATTTTACAGGTTTACAAATGTTGTTGTTAACTGTTCTCTAATCTCATGCCTGTTTTTTTTTTTTTTTCATTTTCCAAGCTCTATAGTAATTGCTGTAGTTAGATTTTAAATGTTCATACAACTTCATTTTTATTCTTGATTGACTTTCTGACACTTGGGGGTGACAAGTGACACCACTGGAAACTTTCTGTGTGGGAATATCAGTGTCATGTGATCGTCTGCACCTTCACACAAGGTCTCTGTGAGGGACGGTCTCACACATCAGGACCCGCCTGGTCTCACAGCAGAGGGGAAGCCAGCAGAGCCGGGACGTGCTCGCCTGCTCCTGACCAAGCCTGTGCTCCAGCTGGGGACATCCCAAGGTACAGACACAGACAGCAGCTACTGTGGGTGTGTGAGTCCATCTCCATATCGCTTCTCACCCTGTTGATGGCAGAGGAATAGAGCAGCACTTAGTATAGGAGAGATGTGTAGAAAGTTGGGGTTAAATTATGATCTATGTTAATACCTAAAGTTGCCTTTATTCTAGAGGAGAAGGCAGGAGTGGATCAGAATGAGAATTTGTCAAAAGAATTAAATGGACATGAAATTTTTAAAATTGTCACATGTTTTGTGGTATATTTATTTCCTTTTTTAAGACATTATATGTACTTTTAATTCTCATCACAATGGATGCTATTTATCCGGCTAGCAATGAATAACCCAAACTGAATTACCTTTGCATGATGTAACCTCTGATAAATTTTGAAACCTTTGTTAATATGTTTATTTTCTATCAATAGAAATCTAGTCTAATATGTACCAATTTGTTTTGTTGATATTTATGTATATAGATATAAGACAAAAATAACTGCACAAAAATCAGTTATCTCAGAAAATATATGACCTCGAGCAAAGATTTATTTTGAATCTTTTATTTATTTATTTGAGAGGTGGAGTTACAGACAATGAGAGGGAGAGACAGAGTGAGATCTTCCTTCCATTGGTTCACTCCCCAGTTCTCCACAATGGCTGGAGCTACAGGATCCGAAGCCAGGAGACAGGAATTACTTCCCAGTCTCCCATGCAGGAGCAGGGGCCCAAGGACTTGGGCCAACTTCTACTGCTTTCCAGGCCACAGCAGAGAGCTGGATTGGAAGAAGTGCAGCCGGGACCATAACAGGTGCCAATATGGGATGTCAGTGCTGCAGACACAGGATTAACACACTGCCCCACCGCACAGTCCCCCGGAGTTAAGATTTACATTGTAATTGGGAATATGTGTTTCTCAGTCTATAATTTGAAAACAGTAGCAATGTGTGGACTTGCTGTTAGAATTACAAGTGATGCTTATCTCAATTAATGATACTTTCATACACCCCGACCTAGAAATTCCATCATTTCTTCATTTTTCTCAACTCTGAGGTCATGTCCATGAAGGCCAGTGACTATCAGGATGATGAGATAAATGAGTGCTGGGGTGTGAGAGAATATGATTCAGCAGCACGGGGTGTTCATTGAATTAGTATGTGTGGTGTGTGTGAGTGTGTGTGTGAGTATGTGTGTCCCTCATGTAAGAGGTGCCTCTGTCATGTTGTGCTGATCATTTGAACCTAATACATGTACTGAGTATCAAGTTAATTTTTCAAGAGAGGGTATAAATCTGGATATTTATGCACAAATTATATCCATTTCCAAATTTTGGCAACTAATTAACTTTAAAACAGTTTAAAAGTTTAATACAGTATGTCCATAAACTAAATAGGATCTCTCTTCTAAAACATCACAAAAAGGAATTTAAATCACTTTTTCCTGGCCAGCATTGTGATGGGGTGGGTTGAGTCAGCACCTGCCATGCCAGTTCCCATATCAAAGTGCTCGTTTGTGCCCTTGCTGCTCTGCTTCAGATCCAGCTCCCTGCTAATGTGCCTGAGATGACAGCACAAGATGACCCAAGAGTCTGTACCCTCGGCTACCCATGTGGGAAACCTGATGGAGCTCCTGGGTCCTGGTTTCAGCCTGATCCAGCCCCTAGAACGCCAGCCATCTGGGGAGTGAACCAGTGGAGAGAAATTCTCTTTCTAACTTTCCCTCCATCTCTCTCACTCTGGAACTCCCTGCTTTGCAGATAAATAGATTAAATTTTTAAAAAATCTTTTCTGTTTTTTCCAGGGTTAGGGTGATCTTAATTCACTTTCTACAGGCCAGAGCGTATATCATTCCTGCTACTCTCCCCATTACTCATGAAACATTTCCCCGATTTTAGCTGAATCTATTATGTCTCGTGAAACATCTCTGGTCCTTGCTATGTTTTTAGCCTGAAACTCTCAGAAATGAGTGAGGAGAAAATGATATACAGAAATGAAATTGTCTCACGCAAAGAAAAAGAAAGACAAAGACATTTAGCTCACAAAAAAAGAGGTAATTTTTCTTGTTTTGTGATTTCTGAGAACATAATGTCAGGTAGAAAAAAAATAATATATTTAAAAGCCATATCTATTCGATATGGAATGTCTAGTTCCTTATTTTACTTTAGATATTGGGAGATCCATTTAAGTGTAGTATCCATGAGATTTTTGATTAGAATGAATATGTGATTTTAATGCTAATTTCCAGCATAAATGTTTGTCCTGCTTGGGTTCTTATCTGTTTACCAAGCTCATTATATACCCACTTTTTAAATTTTTTACAGAAAACCCATGCACAGTAATCCTGGGCATCATCTGTGTTGTGCTCCTGCTGGCAAGCATAGGGTTAGGATATATGTGTGAGTATGTGCACATGTATGGGTGTGGATGGGCAATAAGAAAAAGAGAAGGAAATCGATTAGCCCAAGAAATGGTGGATTTTAAAAATAAGAAGTCTTTTTTTTTTTTTTCTTTTTAGTTGTGGTCTAGAATATGGACACTGTAATAGGTTGCTGAACTGCAGGAAGAGTTACAGTTATTATGAAGGGGACATGAAGGGACTATGTATTTGATATTGCTAGATTTTTACAACTAGATAAAATTTAATGTTGGTACATAGGGGTGTCATTGGAAATGAAAAGATTCTGTTGTGTGACAAACACTTGAGTGATTTTTTTCAAATTATTTATTTGAGGGAGGGATGGAGGAAGAAAGAGAGAGAGAGATTCCACCTTCTCATTATCTAAGTTTTAAAGTCTGCAACAGCGGGGACTGGGCTGGGTAACAGAAATGCAATCCACTCATGTGGGTGTCAGTGACCCGTTCACTTTGAGCCATCACTACTGCCTCCCAGCATCTCCATTAAGAGAAAGTGGGAATCAGGAACTGGACCGAGCAAGCAAACTTGTGTGCCTGATATGGAAAACAGGCATTTTTTAAAAATGGAACAAGAGCTTTTTATTTTACATTTTTATTCTCAACTTAATGGAAGAAACTGCTGTTTCTCTCATAGACTTTTAACTTTCCTTTTGCACATTCGAAATATCTATGAACTGATTTGCTGTGCATATTTTATGCATTCATTATACATACAGGCAAATCACTTATGTCAATATGTAAATGCTAAATTGAGTCACATGCTGAGAATCCATTATTTAAAGATGGACATAAAATCTAGTTCATTTTTAATTTCCTTTGTTTCTAGTTTATGAAATGAACACTACTTTTTTATGTGTCTTGGAAATAATAGATTTCAAGTTACATATAATTGTAGTTTTATATAAAATATATTTTATGGCCTGACACAAAAATATTTTAACTTTATCTATGATTATAATCCCAAGTAATCATCACCATGTTCTTTTATACCTAGAATTATAGGATATGATCATAATTAAGTGATCTTTTAAGTCATTTATGTTGTTAATTTTGTAATGTGGATTGAAGCTTTTCAGAAGTGTCCTAAATGCACAACACAGGATAAGGAAAACACAAAAGAAAAGAACACATCCTCAGTACAGCTGGAAGATCATTCAGTGGTGCTGTCCGGTAGAGGTTTGTACTCAATGTTTAAGTTCATAGCCGACAGGTTATTTTTCATAGACTTACTGCCTTCTGTCCATTTCAATATATAAACTTTAAAAAGTTGATATTGGATCTTATGAGGAGTTATAGGTTTTAACTTTACTCTTCTCATTAAATCTATTTTTAAAATCATAGTTAACTAAGCATTCGAGTTTGAAAAGATGTTTGGGTACAGAAAAACTCTTCTTTTATGCTAATTCCTTCTGAAGAAAAAATTAAATACCTAAAATCTTGTTTTCTAAATGGCCTGGTGTCTTGGGGTGGGGGTGACTTGTTTTGAAGAACAAGCCTGTGGCTTCTTGCAAGGAAGACACTTTTGTTGTGGAAGAAACTGCTACTATTTTTCTAAAAAAGAAGAAACATGGGAGGAGAGCAGGAATTTATGCCGGAACATGGATTCTAGCCTTGTGAAGATTGATGACATCCAGGAACTGGTATGTTCACTTAATTAACCTTTATGAGAAGCTTGCAAAGACTGAGTTAGGCTACCTGTGTTGGCTTTCCTTGAGTCTTATTTGACTGCAGGGTGGAAACACTTGTGTTTGTAGAGGGGAAGACATGCTTTAAGGACCTAAATAATTTCACTTTCTAAAGCAAGCAGAGGTGGCTTATTGTGTGTGCCATGGAATTATATTGAGTCCTTACTACTTATGGTTTCATGATTTGTGAATGATAAAAAAAAAAAACACCTGAATGAGTGAATTAGTTGGCACTTAATTTTAGTGATTCTTCAGAGCCCTAGAGCAATAAAGTATATTTTAAACCTTCTTCTACAATATCTCTATGTATTTCATAGGTTTCAAAAGAGAAAACATTATAAGTTTCTTCTTATAGAATTTAACTAAAGTGGAAAAATAATGGAGTGTGTATCTGGGACAGAGAACAGGAAAGAAAAGTGAAATGGAGAGAGTAAATTGCATTTGGAAATAAAATCAATTTTTTTGCCTAACATTTGAGTACCCAAGGAAAGCATTTAAAAGGAATAAAATATAACTGAAATAATTATGAAAATATACACTAACGTTAGGTTTATAGTATGTCAGATCTTAATATGCATTATTTCAGTGCATAAAAACTTCCACATAGGTAATGTCATTCCCATATTTTAGACAAGGAAGAAACTCAAGGAGTTTAGTTTGTTTGCCTTTGCTCACATAGTAAGTTAATTACATAATCTGCTTTAAAATTTGTGGCTAGAGTTCTGATTTCCATAGCTGTATGATATTCGTGGTATCACATGGAGAGACGTTACTTAGTCATTCTCTAGGTGATGGGAATTTGGGTTGTTTCCACTGCTGTTGTGATGAGCAGCTCTTCATTAACCATCCTTAGACACGTCAGCTGTGCACGTCTTTCATGTGTCTCCTCTGCAGTTCATCACAAACCTGTATGAGTGCAATTATTGGGTGTTTCCAATTTTACAAAATAATGCCACAATATTTTTCAATATGTTTTTACTGATAGTTTTGAAGATATTCTATTGTTTCCTACCATCCTAAAATCTTATGTTTGCTCTATGTAAAGAATTTCCTTGTAGCCTTGTTTGCCTTTACTTGATCTCCACTGAAGTTGATATCCTTTATTGTTCATATATGTTTTCTATGAACATTTTCTTCATTTTTTTCTTTTGGATGATTTTGCTTTCCAATTGATTTATATGAACTAATGTTTTGTTCTTGGAACTACATTACTATATGCATGTCCAGATTTGAAACTTCCCTGCCCATGTTCTTCAAGGCGTGTTTTGATGAAGAGAAGTTCTAAGTTGAATGAATCCATACTTACCAATCACTTTTTTAGTATTATGCTTGGAGATTTTTGTGTCTTTCTAAAGAAGTTCACCATGGTCCTTTCTTGATATCTTTCAATCCACAAAGATGCAGGAGATTCAGACTTTTAGAACTTTCACTTCCATGGCTTCTCTGCACAGTAGATGAACTAAGATTGTCTTAAGTGAAATGATTAGTATTTTGTACAAGTCCTTTGTAGATAAAAGGCTATTATTGATGTAATGAGTAATACTAGTAATTCTAACTTGTGCACAGAATTTCATTCAATCACACATCAAATACACTTACTGGATTGGATTATACCAAAAAGAAGATAAAAATGAGTGGAAGTGGCGGGACAACACGAAACTTGCTCAACAACTGTAAGTTTGCATTTCACATTCTATGAGGTGGTAAATCACATAGTGTACTAGAGGATCCTCAGTGCCATGGAGCACTATTCAGTCCCTGCTGGGTCAGGGAGTACAGTTCGTGTGGGGGGCAGTGGAAGGAAGAGATTTTATGTTTTTAATGGGGGAGACACAGGTGATCTAATGTGATAATGGTGTTGGTATAATGATTTAAAGGAGGTGAATGAGAAAGCTAAGGGAGCTCTCTGATGGGGTAGCATCCTGGAAGGAAGACTAACTGGTATAGAGATGGGGGAGTGCATTTGGTTATCTCGAGGAAACAGGAAGAGGATCTGTGATACTGGAGGAATCTGAATAAGGAAGGAAAAGTAAGTCAGAGAGATGACATGGATGAGATCATCTAGGAATGAGAGACTACAGAAAGACTTTGATTTCTCTTTTTTCTTTTGACATGTAGAGTTATAGATAGTGAGAGAGAGACAGAGAGAAAGGTCTTCCTTCCGTTGGTTCACAGCCCAAATGGCCGCTACGGCCAGCGCTGCGCCGATCTGAAGCCAGGAGCCAAGTGCTTTCTCCTGGTCTCCCATGTGGGTGCAGGGCCCAAGCACTTGGGCCATCCTCCACTGCCTTCCTGGGCCACAGCAGAGAGCAGGACTGGAAGAGGAGCAACCAGGGACTAGAACCCGGCGTCCATGTGGGATGCCAGCGCCGCAGGTTGAAGATTAACCAATTGAGCTATGGCACTGGCCCTAATACTTTGACTTCTTAATGAGTGCAGTGATTCTCTTTTGGAGGGTTTTGAGCTGCGGGATGACAAGGACAACCTTCCTATTTTAAAAAGTCCCCTGGACACTGTGTGGTCCTTAGGTGGTGAATGGGAGATACAGATTGCAACTAAGAGAGTCACACTGAAAGTCAGTTGTCATCACCACCAAGTGAGTGATGGTGGTGGTTTGGTCAGGACAGGTAGGGAGGGTGCTGGGGAAACGGAGCCAGATGCCAGACCTACTGTGAAAATGTGTGAGAGGAAGAGAATTCAGAGATGGCTGCCGGGTTTTAGTCCAGCAATGATGACAGTAGAGCTGTCATTAACTGTTACGAGGAGCATCAGGCATTGAGTATTAGTGACAAGTTTGATACATCCATTATACATTTTGATATCTGTGGGCATGTCACATAGACATGTTGTACATGATTGTAAACTTCATGTAAAAAATCTGTCCTAGGGATGTGTATTTAATGTGTGTCAATGCTGCAGGGGTGTGGGCACTATGAGATGATATTTTGAGTACTTTTTTATGTTTTATTTTATTAGAAAATCAGAGTTGGAGAGAGATCCTCCATCTCCTGGTTGACTCCCCAAAAAGCCACAATAGCCAGGGATGTGCCAGGAGCTTCATCCAGGTGTCCCATGTGGGTGTCAGGGAGTCCCAGGACTTGGGCTGTCTTCTTTTAGTTTCCCAGGCACATTGACAGGAGCTGAATTGGAGGTGGAGCAGGCATGAATTGAACAAGAGCTCATATGGGATGTTGGCATCTCAAACAGCAGCTTAATTCACTGTGCCACAAGGCCAACCCCTGTTGTGGGGGTTTTGATTGCTGAGATATCCAGACCCTGATCCCTGAGACACCAAACATTTAAGATATTGTGGTGATGAGGATGATTACAAAAGGGTCCTAAGAAAAGTAGTGAGATTGAAAGGAGGAAACCAGGAAAGAGCAGTGGGATACCTAAAAAAGGCACAACTAAAGCAATGTGCCGAAGTTAAATGGTTGGTGACTTCTTGCCAATAATAATTTTGTGACTTGAAATTATTATTATCAGACTCATATATCTGCTGGGAAATTCATATTATACACTTTTTCCATATATCATAGCAAGTCCTATAACTTAGAATCCATGTTGAATATTCTCATTGTCCAACATCACAAAATATCAACACTCTGTTTGGTGGACCAGACATTAGCTCAGTGGGAGTAAGGTCACCTTGTGTGTGAAATGCCAACCAGCTCCTCCTAGTGCTCAAAGTGAGGACCGGGCTGTGGCCTCCTGCTATATGCCCATCAATCTGAGTCACAGGACACTGGAGCTGTCATTGTATCTAATTATAATGTGTCACTAATAACCTTACCTTATTTAGTAACTCCGGTGAGTTGCTGAAGTCTCAGAACTTCCAGAGTGAGCCCATCTAAAGCCTACCCACTGTGTTCTGTGTACCTAGTCCTCATCTGCAGTCATTCACCAGCATGAACTGTCCCTTAGCTTTAGAAATACTTACACCTTCTGATTTGCCACCTGTACATCTGTCAGAGGGATTTTGTGTTCACTTAATAATCACACACACACACATACACACACACACACATTTTTAAATTGTGACAATGAAATATTGCCCAAAGAATGATATTCTAAAATAAATATATTCTCTGACATAGGACTTTCCGTCAATCAAATAAAGTGGGTGAAAAATGTGGATGCCTGAAGCCACAATACATTAATAATGCTGATTGTTCAAGATCTTTTCCTTACATATGTGAGAAGAATAAGCCCTTCTTCAATAATTAGTACAACCTTTATGGATAGCAGTATGGAGATTCCTCAAAAGACTGAAAATGTTTCTGCCACATGACTCAGCCATCCCTCCTCTAGGAATATATCCTGCAGTAACAAAGTCCACAAGGAAAGAGATACCTGCATTCCCATGTTTACAGCAACCCAATGTTTAACAGCAAATATATGGAATAAACCTATATGTCCATAAACTTTCAATCTTACTACTGTATGAAGAATATGTGTGTGATGAAATATTACTTAGCCACTAAAAAGAATGAAATCCTAATGTTTGCAACAAAATGAATGGAACTATAGATAATTATGCTAAGTGGAATAAGCCAGACAAGGAAAGACAAATATCAAAAGTTCTCTCATATTTGAATATTAATATATAATGTATTAAAATGATATGAATTTCTTATTGTTTACTATATGCATAGGTAGAAGTATTCTCTTCACTGAATTGTATCATATATATAACAATTCCCCCTCCTTTCCTCACTTCATGATCATTGACATGAATTCCATGTGATATTAAAATCCCTGTTTTGAAGAGTGAATGTATATAATAGCTATATATGAAGTGAATATGACAAGATTTTAAAAATTGTTAAATCTTTAAATAAATATTGCAAATAAATAAATTCAACCAAAAATATATTTTATTTTTGAGTGGCACAAAGAGAGTAATTATATCTATTTTTTGGGGAATAGTATGATATTTAATACATGTTTGCAATATGTAATGATCCACTAAGGGTAACTGGCATATCTATCAACTCAGGCACTTATTATTTCTTTATGTTGGGTACATTCAAATCTAGCTAACTGAAATATTCAATTGTTATAGGACATTCGAAGTTATTTCTCATAACCAGCTGCACCTCTGTACCAATAAACAATCTTCTCCCCATCACTCTCTCTGCTACCTGCTTTTCAGGCTCTGGTAACCACTATTCCAGTCTCTGATTTACAGTCAATGTTTAAGCTTCCATATCAAAGTGAAAATAGTTAGTGCTTGTCTTTCTGTATGTTACTTCAATAAATGTAGTGTATTCTCATTCTTTCCATGCTCCTGCAAATGACAGAATTCCATCCTATTTATGGATGAGTAATATTCCAAACAGCATTTTTATCCATTAGGGACACTTAAGTTGAGCTCATATTTTGATTGCTGTGATCATTCTGAATTAAACATGCAAGTGCAAGGATTCTTCAATATACTGCTGTCAATTCCTTTAGATAAATATGCAGATATGCAGAGCAGTTATAACAAAACAGCATTGTACTTGGCAAAAAACAGATGGATAGACCAATGCAGCATAATAGAAACTCCAGAAACCAGGCCACACATCTATAATCAACTCTATTTGACAAGGAAGCTAAACTCAATTCCTGAAGCAAGGGCAACTTCTTCAGCAGGTGATGCTGCAAAAACTGGATCTTTGCATGCAGAATATGAAACTAGACCCCTACTATACACCTTGCCAAAAATCCACTCAAAATGGGTCAAAGACCTTGTCCATGACCCAATATCATCACAGTACCACAGAACATTGGAGAAACCCTGCAAGATAGTGGCATAGGAAAGACTCATTTTAAAAGACCCCAGAAGTACAGCAATCAAAGCCAAAATTAACAAATGGGATTACACCAAATTGAGATGCTTCAGCACTGCAAAAGAAAGCTCAGCAAAGTGAAGAGGAGAAAATATTTGCAAACTATGCAAGTGATAAAGGATTAATATCCAGAATATACAAGGAGCTCAAGAAACTCAACTACAACAGAACAAACAATCCAGTTAAGAAATGAGCAAAGGACTTGAACATTTTTCAAGAGGAAATTCAAACAGCTAACAGACCTGAAAAATGCTCAGGATCATTAGCCATCAGGGAAATGCAAATCAAAGCCACAATGAGGTTTTACTTCACCCCAGTTAGGATGGCTCTCATACAGAAATCAGTGAACAACAAATGGTGGTGAGGATGTGGGGAAAAAGTACCCTAATCCACTGTTGGTGGGAATGTAAACTGGTGTAGCCACTGTGGAAGACAGCATGGAGATACCTCAGAAATCTGAATGTAGATCTACCATATGATGCAGCCACCCCACTCCTTGGAATTTACCCGAAGGAAAAGAAATCAGCATATGAAAGTCATCTGTATCTCCATGTTCATTGTAGCTCAATTCCCTACAGCCAAGATATGGAATCAATCCAGATGTCCATCAAATGAAGACTGGATAAAGAATTGTGATATAAATATATATATATATGTATATGTGTGTATATTTATATATATATACACTATGGAATACTACACACAGTAAGAAATGAAATCCTGTCATTCACAATAAAATGGATGGTACTGGAAAACATTGTACTTAGTGAAATAAGCCAATCCCCAAAAGATAAATACCATAGGTTCTCACTGATCTGTGGTATCCAATATAGTACCCAAAAAGTAATTTTTGGAATGAAATTGACACTTTAAGATGTGATTTTATCAACTCTTGTCTTGACTGTTGAGGAGCAATGTTTTTTTTTCTTCATACTCTTTGATGAACACTTTGCTTAGTGTAGGGTTATTATTTTAAAAAGAAGAAAGAAAAAACTTCAGTGTCTAAAGATACTATTAAGAGAATGGAAGACTGGAAGGAATTATTTATACAACCTTTATATAAGTAAGTACTGGTAGGCAGAATATATAAACAATTTTCATAACAATATTAAGAATATGAACAACCCAATAAAATGGTCAACAGATTTGAATACATATATATGAAGTAGTTATACAATTATACAGTTGAAACAATACACACAAAAAGTTTCCCAATATAATTTATTCATTAGGGAAATATAATTAAAATCACAAATAAAATTTCACAACACCCTTATTAAAATGACCGAAGAAACTGGCAATATTACATATCAGAAGGATGTAAACAAATGGAGCTTTCATGTATGCTGGAATGTAAAATGACAGGCACTCTAGAAAACACTTTGGAAGTTTTCTACTGATCAGGAAACTCAGATTCAAAAGTTTTCACTTGCCAGTGAACACACAACTATTAGGTACGGTGCAGTCCTCAAATTTAGAATGGATTCAGGATACTATTCTCTTCTCCTTCCAGATCCCATATTGTCTTTCTCCTAAGAGATAAAGATTCAAACAGAAATGCATACATGCTTCATACAAAATACTGTCCTTAATTACTACACTGCATTTACTTCTAGTTGAATTGCACAATAGCGCCTGAAATTTATGGAATTATCTACGAAAGTGTGTGAGTTGCAGGAAGAGTATTCCCAGCTCTGTTTCCTGACCCTCATCAGAGCCCTGAAACTGTTCTGATCCATCTTGTTTTCATAAGTGCTGTGATCATGAAGTCTTGAATTGAAAATGGTAGAATTCCAAAGTCTCTGGCATCTCATTTTAGTAGACCAATACTTGGACCTCATTTTAATCAGGCTAGAATATAGGTAGAGCTCTTTAAAAATGCAGATGCTCTGAAGTGAGGGAAGACTCCAGAGCTCCCAAGGGTTGAATTTTTCCTAAGAAAAAATTATTATTTTTTGTTGGTGGTGTTCCCAGCATTAAGTTGAACGACATGTAATTTTCTTCTCACAGACTAGAGTGCATGAGTCTGGCACAGTCAGAAGCAGTCATCTGTGATGCTGTTAGACTTCCACAGTTTCCACTTGTTGACTCTTTCCAATCACTTAAACTAAAATAAGAACAAATAAATACTATGAGATATTAATGCAGACATAATCAGCTATACTGGTCCAAAGTGAAGGAGGCGTATCTTTTTGTCTTTACAGAGACTATCCCACAGGGCCGTAAGCTTCCCTAGAGAGAATCATGTGAGAAATATACACATAGACTTCACACTGAAAACCTCCTTCCCTTCTTGGTGAACTCATCTTCATCATTGAGCTTAGGCTCCTCTGGCAATGTGTGTGTGTGTGTGTGTGTGTGGGCACACACATGTCTATGTGCCCATGCACTGGGTAAATATGCCTGTATATGTGAATTAATACATACATGTATGTGTGCATTTTTTACCTGTATGATTTTGGGACTATAAACCAGAAGCTTGATTACAGGGCTTGCAAGCTCTTCTCTATCCCAGAGACTTACGTTTTGAGAAGGGGTACTGAGTTGTCCTCCCATGTCCAGAGACTGCTGGTTCCTTTACGGGACAACCCAATCCAAGAAAAATAAGATATTTGACTCCGAATGAAGTTCTGTGATAAATGAATCATTATCTATAATTAATAATATTTTAGATTCCTAAAATGAAGTAATAAACTTACTATTATTATATTAATTTTGTTGTTAATGTGAATATCAAATGGTATAAGGATCAACTTCACCCAGAATTTGTTTAATTAAAATGATGGAACCTCAGTTGCTAACACTTCATTAAAGGTAACAACCTAACTAAACCCTTAGTGACAATTATTTTAGATAAGTTTATTTCAACTTAGAACTGAAATTTGTTAACTTCCCTTCAAAATTCAAATTTGTGATTCAAATATGAGTTCTGAGCCAAGTCAGCTGTGAATTTTGAGTTCCAAGTGTGACAGCTCTAAGATTTGTAACAACACTGTTTTATATTTCTGTTCCACAAGCCCTTTGTTTATTTCTTCTGAAAAGGACACCCTGAGTCTCTTTCTCATTAGGTGCAGTGTTTATATGCCAACTAGAAAAGTAACTGCATAAAAATAGCTAGGATTCCTTCAATGAAGGCATACAACACTTAAGGCTATGACATCAGTAGGTAATATAACCTCATGGGCTCAACATTGTATATACTATCCAACCCTGACCAAAAGCGTTGTTATGCAGCACATTGTGGTACTTTAGTTTTTATTTATCTGAAGTGTGGGGAGAGAGAAACAAAGAGAGTGCATCTATCCACCGGTTCACACTCAAACTGCCCATGACAACCAGAGCTGGGCCACACCACAACCAGGAGTCCAGAATTCCATTCAGGCATTCCACATGGTGGCAGAGATCCAATCTGAAATTCATGTAGAGTTTTTTCTTCTACTTTAAGGCTCATTACTCACACTGATTCAGGTTGCTTTTCCTTATAGGTAAAATGACTTTTCCCAAAGAGGCTAAAGCTATATTTCCAAAAATTGTTCAATATGAGAAAACTCAGTATGAGATACACATTTTTTCTTGATCAAGCATGATATATTGTAAGGACCATTTTTCCTAATTACTTGAGGTTTAATTTATATATACTTTGAAAATTCTAATTGTGGAAGAATTAAATGAGTTGCTAAAATTCTCATATCATATATTTGTATTTCTTGTTTGCCATAAGA